TTGGGGTGGGTTTGGTGGGATTTGGGGGGTCTTGGTAGGGTTTGGGGGGGTTTTAGAAGAGTTTGGGGGGGCTTGGGGTGGGATTAATGGGGGTTCGTGGGGTTTGGAGGGGTTGGGGTGGAATTTGGCGCATTTTGGGGGGAATATTTTGGTAAGTGCTTGGAACATTTTGGGGGAAATTCGGTGCATTTTGGGGGGAGTTTGGGACATTTTTGGGACGAGATTTTGGGGCCCGTTCCGGATATTCTGCTGGGGATTTTTTTGCATTTTCGGTGGGAATTTCTCCCATTTTAGGCAAATTCCATTCCCAGCCCCTCTCCCAAATTTGAACCCGAGTTAACCCCGAGCTAACCCCGAGTTTAACCCCGAGTTTAACCCCGAGCTTAACCCCGAGTTAACCCCGAGCTTAACCCCGAGTTAACCTCGAGCTAACCCCGAGTTAACCCCGAGCTTAACCCCGAGTTAACCCCGAGTTAACCCCGAGTTAACCCCGAGCTTAACCCCGAGTTAAACCCGAGTTAACCCCGAGCTTAACCCCGAGTTAACCCCAAGTTAACCCCGAGTTTAACCGCGAGTTAACCCCGAGTTTAACCCCGAGTTAACCCCGAGTTTAACCCTTTCGGCGCGGCCCCGCCCGACCTGGGCGTGTCCCCTTGGGGGCGGGGGTTCCATCCCCATTTTGGGTTCCCATCCCAATTTTGGGGTTCCCATCCGAATTTGGGGTTCCCATCCCCATTTGGGTTCCCATCCCAATTTCGGGGTTCCCATCCGAATTTGGGGTTCCCATCCCCATTGGGGTTCCCATCCCAGTTTTGGGTTCCCATCCCCATTTTGATTTCCCATCCCAATTTGGGTTCCCATCCCAATTTTGGGGTTCACATCCCCATTTGGGGTTCCCATCCCCATTTCGGGTTCCCATCCCCATTTGGGTTCCCATCCCAATTTCGGGGTTCCCATCCGAATTTGGGGTTCCCATCCCCATTGGGGTTCCCATCCCAGTTTTGGGTTCCCATCCCCATTTTGATTTCCCATCCCAATTTGGGTTCCCATCCCAATTTTGGGGTTCACATCCCCATTTGGGGTTCCCATCCCCATTTCGGGTTCCCATCCCCATTT